GTCTATTAAAATGAAGACATTTTGGTCATTTTATCATTTTTCTTATAAATTTTTTGATATAGACGTTTTGTAAAGCTAATGCACCTGAAAAAGTTTATTTAACCCACTTGTGGCCCTCTCCCCATAACCAACAACACCATCCCACCACATTTGCCGTATCCTACATATGCTTTCGTCACCCGTATCGACATTGCCATTATCGCCATATCGACATGGCAGTGTTCAAAAAAGCTCACCGCAACAATTCTTGTGGCATACCGTGGCTTAAGGTTGTATCTCATGCCATATCAAGTCTGTGGCACGCCATGACCTAATTTTTGTAACGCACTATTTGATTTTTCTTACTTTTTAATGTCATATTTGTTAACTTTTAATGTATAACCTAATTTAAATAATTTAATATTTTTTCATTGAATTTAAATAACTAACAGTGTCTATATTAAACCCATTCACATTCAAATATTTTTTTTCATTGAATTTAATTACAATCACAATCCACAACATTGATCCTCTACGAGTCCCAATTACAATCCAAAAAATAATACCCAGATAAAAAGGGGTACAGGATAATCATACCTTTATAACCGAATCTCTATACTCTCATGAATTGATAGAAGAACCTCCTCTTCAGCTCTGATTTCACAAAGTGCTTAATGAACCCACACAAAAGAAGCGCTACAACCTGGAAAGAAAATAGGGAAAGGAAGGAATCGACTCCCTTCTAAACCCGATACAAAATTTTCATAACATCCTCTCATATTCCCAGTAGACTTATTTTACCATGAACTAATAACTAAACTCCAAAATGAAAGAAGCTTATCGGGTATAACACCATCGTCAACTCTGTAGACCAAGGTTGCCCCTCTCTCACAATAGTTTGATGGGCATCGTCAGAGGTGATTGGTTGATATATTGCCCCTTTTCTCTCTATGCCCTCACTTTCACCATTGCACCCCATTTGATGGCCTTAACATCTTCGAACATCTCCAGTAGTGCAGTGAAATCATCCAAAAATAGTACACCCCACCTCCAACCCCTACTACAATGAAATTGACTTTATAGAACGTCTAGATTGTCTAAGCCTGCTAATATAAAACTTAATAGAACTTAGGTTTATATGACGAACCCATGTAGCATTCTATCTAAAAGCATTACAATAGGTTTATAGGACATTTTTAGGCATTTTAACAAGTTTTCTAGGACGCTTATAGAATAAAGTGTCATGTTAGCTATTTCATAGGACATTTGTGTTTTTATATGACACTTTTTTCAAATAGTATCGTATAAAATAGTTAACGACGACACTTTATTTTAAAAGTGTTCTAAAACAATTATTAAAACGCCTAAAAACATCATATAAACCTATTGTAACACTTTTAAATATGATGCTTTTTAGTTTGGTCCTATAAACTATAGTGTTCGGATTTGAATCTACTTAATGCATCTGCTTTTAGTTTTTATTCATGTTTTAAACTAGATATTTATTTAAGGATTTGTAGTTATGGACTCAATTGCAGGTTCACTTGAAGTTCCACCAACTTGGATATGAAGGCATTAGAGTTTAGAATCACAAGGGAAAAGATGAAGGTACTTTTCTTCTCCATAGTTCTTTATGTGCTTCAATTCCAACAAATGTGGATTCACTTATATAGATAAAGTTGGGGATGGTCAATGAGAGAGAGTGTGCGGGATTCAATACTTAGATTTGGATCAAGTGGCCACCTGTTTCCTTTTTCTACCCTGCTTGAATGGCCTCCCATGTTACAATTACCAGCTACACAATACCGTGCATTGAGAACTAATTTTCTTCATTTGGAGACTTGTCTGGTGTTTGGAGTGTCTACAAAAACTTAAAACAATGCTGGAAGAACTAAAAAAGAAACATGCCCAAATTCCTACAGAAAAAGAGCAGATGTTGGAACATTTTTTAGATAGGATCAAGTCATTAGAACTTTATCTTCATAAAACCAAGAAAGTAGGTTCCTTTTACATCCTCAAAAACTTTTCCTTATGATCACTATTACTTTTCTTGACTTGAGCTCCTCACTAAGCAACTTGAGATTTCAGAATTGATGGAAAGGCTGCACCAGTACAAAGTCTGTGTAAGTTACTATCTCTTAAGTTTTACTTTATTTCAAGCAAATCTAGATCAAACCCATATCAAGAATCATGACAATCAAACCCTAAAATTTATCCCTTCAAGTGGAGGAGGCGATTTGCATATAACGTGGACTATTTTGGGTCTCCCTCATGATACCCAATCACCCATCCATAAAGTTGATGTATTTATTGCTTATTAGATGCACTTGCCTTTTTATTTAAAATAGAACCTCTTGGCATGATCTAATCCATAAAGTTGATGTATTTGTTGTAGGTTCTAAGTCTGGTCTTGAAGAAATTGCTTCTCTCAACTTTAATGCAAATTTTGGGTCCATTAGGCTTAAAACTTTCTTTTTTGGTTTATCAGGTCCGAAAGCCAATATTATAGATCACATAACAGATCTGCATAGCTAAAGAAATGAAATGAAGCTGTTTTGATGTCCTATTGACTTGTTGTAGAAAAAGAGTGGATAATTGATACACTGAAGATCTTAGATTGTTGTGATGTGATTTTGGATGTTCTTTTTTTTTTCTGATAAATTTGAACAGATATATGGATTCATTAAAACATTATCGTTTCTTTTGAAAAATTCTTGGCTTTTATGACAAAATATATAAAATTTTATTGTTTAAGGATTTTGATGTTGTTTTTCTAGATTTATGTTACCATTTATTTTATAATAATACATATTATATACGTAGTTGAAATATGGACCATATATATATATGTGTGTGTGTGTATACGTATAAAATAAACAATGAAATCGACGGTTTGTACAAGTAGTTTGATTTGCATTTTATTCCTCTCCTATACACATATATTGATATAACTTCTAAAGAATGAATAGATTTTTTTTAAAAGTGTAACTAAAATAATATCTTTACAGAAAGTTTGCAAAAGGCGTCACTAAAGCCTATAGCTTTAGAGAAGGATTCGACTATATGTATGTAAAGATAACATTTAGAGAAGTTTACGAAAGTGTAACTAAATGATACCTTCACCAGAAAGGTTTATATAAAGAATCACTAAAGCTTATACCTTTTGAGAATTTTTTTCTAAGAACCTTCTCTGAATGTACCTTTTAGAGACGATTGAAAACTGCCATTGATGCTTGAAAAACGTCACTAATATATAATTTTAGAGAAGCTTTTTGAAATAAATGGGTCAATCTTTAGAGAAACTTCAAAAGCGTATCTACAGCCCAAAAATGCTTCTTTAAAGGTTAACCCTTTTACCTACCGTCGTACAGGAAAGCTTTTTGAAGAAAGTGAAAAACTTTTCTGAAACTTTTAGAGAAGCTTCTCAGACTTTTAAATACAAAAGAAGACCTTCTCTGAAAGTCAATTTTCTTATAGTGAACTAATCGGGTAAGATTCATCATCAAGTTAGATTCTTCTTGGACAAGATGTCACGTTAAAATTGTTGGTAAATACCATCATCTCTGAGCAGGTAACGTCTGTTACCTCCGGAAGAGCCAATAAGTGTTTATTTATCTGTTAAGAAGCAGTTAATGGCTGTTAAACAACCCCTTAAATTACTGTACATTGCTTGTTTTAAGGTTTGTAGTTTGTTATTATGTTTTTTACTTTTCTTGTTTCGATGAGTTGTATACAAGCTTTAAAGACTGGTATCTATCTTAGTACAAAAAAGACGATAATTGAAATGAAGCTTAACTTAATGGATGGATTTAACGGTCGTTAAAATAGAAAGAAATGGTGAAAACGAATTAAAACTATGGAAAATTTGATAAATATTTTAAATTAGAATGTCAATTGGTAATGTGTTTGTAAACTAGAGGGACGATTAATGTAATTTACCCTAGAAAGTAATATACTTAGAATATACCAAAATAGTGTTGAAAATAATTAATAATTGGGTATTAATTACTTTTTGCTTAAATTTTATTTATTTTAGTACAAAAATAATTTTGATACTTGATAGTTGATAGTCTCCTCTAACCTTTCAATCTTAAACTCTAATTTAAAATTAAATATTTTTAAAAGATTTTAAATATCAGATATATTATATTTATATATATATATATATATATATATATATTAGAAGGGTACTCACACAATGCCGCGATATACATTTCGATTTTAATGTTTCGTTTTTTTTTTGTCTCAGTTGATGTTATAATACAGTTTTATTTGGTTTTGAGAAAACGATAAAATTTTTGAATAAAATATAAAGATAAAGATATATTATAAAAATTTGGAAAAAAACATTGATATTAATATCAACTAACTATTTAAAATTTCTATTTTTTTGTGTATTTCTTTGATTATTTTTTTATTTTTGGTTTAATAATATAATTTTTATAAAGATAATAATTAAGTATTTTGTTAGAATTCAATTATTATCTTGATTATATTTTAGGTTTTTTATATTTAAAGTGAAATGTTTAATATCTATTTGATTATATGTTTATCCACAGTTAGTTACATAAATTCAAAAATAAAACTTTAATAAGTTGTATTTATACATAATTTATTTGTAATCTTGAATTTAAGTAATATACATCAATAAACAGTATTTTACGTATTAAAAATAATTTTTATTTTTTTATTAAATATTTTATAATACAATATATAGACTTGGGATCATATGAGACAAACTTGTTTTTGTGAGACCCGTGAGACCAGCTTTTTATACTTGAAACTTTACAGCAAAGATAACCTTCACAGTGTTTTTGCTGTGAAGGTTCGACTTTTTTAAACCCTCACAGTGTTTTAACTGTGAAGTTTTAAGTGTAAAAATATGATCTCATTAATTTTACAAAAACAATCTAGTATCACGTGAATCCAAATCATAATTGTAATTAGTTCATGAAGAATCATTACCCCACATATTATTTCTCAAACCTCACGCCAAAGAATACGAATCATATTCATACCATCGGAGGGCTTAAACATGGTGCTGCTTCTTGACTTGTTTAGCACACCATGTTGACTGGAAACTGCTTGCCGCTCGCCAAAATTAAAATCAAAAATATAATTTAAAACTACGTTTCCCCACGCCAAACACGAAATAAACCCTTTTCATCCTCACTTCAACCCACCGTTTATATAATTCTAATCAGGGAGAAAGCACACCACTCTACAAACACCTCTGCTTTTTGCTTGGTGAGTCATTTTTACTTCTGGGTTTTTCCTTTTTCATATTTCTACAGCGTAAATTATCGATCTTTTTGCTACTGTGTTTGATTTCTTGGTCGATTTCTGCTGTATGATTTGTTGTTTTTGATGAAATGAAGTGATTCTGGTTCTGGGTTTTTGTTGGATCTACTTTCTACATGCTTATTTGCCCCTCCTCTTGCGTTTGATTGAGTTCGGCATCTTCCCTTGATATGTAAATCTGAGTTATAAAATGAATACCAGATTTAACTTGATTTTTTGTTTATAATGTTCTTGTATTTGTTTCAGAAGCTGTATTGAGTTGTTGTAGAGCAGTTTTAGGTTTTGGTAGCACCAAATCTGATTTGAATTTGAGGTCGATTTGTTCAATTTGAAATGGGTTTGGGTCTGGTTCTGGTTCCATCATCGAGGAATGGAATCGGAGACCGTACAGTTGGATTCCATTGTTGAGTCATGGAACAGGATCCCCAAATATATTTCTAATCAAGACTCGATTTAGTTTGGGGGGTTGAACGGATTTATACTGTGTGTTGTTTTTGATGTTTGGTTCGAATAAATGCAAATTAGGGAAATAGAGTAACCCATTTTCCAAATGCTTTTCGTAATCAGTTCATATACTTCATACTTAAGTTTCTTTAGAAAAAAAGCCTTGATTTTTCTCAGAAACTGAAGAATTTGCAGTGGGGTTGTCTTTTAGTGTTTGAGAGCATGGAATCTGGATGTTTGTTAGCGAAGGTTGCGTTAGTTTCGTATTTAGTATAGCAAAGAACTTTTTTCCTCGATCAATGTAACAAAGTTTCAAAATTTTCTATTTAATACTGCAAGTTTTCATATTCTTTTACCCGTTTTGACCGATAACCTGCTGATCTTGTCATCTTGTAACATTTACTGACGTGGATGCCAATTTTATCATCCTCTTCGCGGTAACCCTTTCATAAACCTTTCATAAATGGGTATCCGCATCATCAAAAGTCACACGATCAACATGTTACCGGTCAAATTGGTAAAAGAATAGGAAATTTTGAAACTTTGTTGTATCTATTTTCCAATTTTGATACACTTTGCTCTTAGATTTAAGCTCATTTTGTTAACATGAAATGGGATCGGCTCCTATTTCATTACCAAGGAATTGAACGATGTCCATGACTTTGGCTTATGATTATACAAGCCTATTTTAGTTTGTTGGATTATATGGGCTTGACTTGTATTCCGTTATTGAAATTTAGTGTAGGGGTACTTCATATGATGGAACTCATGAATCTTGATTAAAAGCTGAATAAATCGCAACGGAGTTTTTCGAAAGATTAATTGTTGTTTGAGAGGATGGAATCTGAGGTTTATTATAGGAGTTAAAGCTCATTTAGTCCAATTTGAATGAGTTATGCTCTTGTACTGTTATTGAGCCATGAAACTGAAGTTGAAATACCCATTTTAAGTACATTGGCCTGATTTACTGGTTTTCGTTTGGTTGGTTTTGGTTATATAAAACATATGACAACTATTTACTGATTTTATGACATTTGGGAGACAGATAAATCCATTTTGGCCGGTTTTAACATGTCGAACATAGACATTGAGGGGATCTTGAAGGACCTTCCGAATGATGGGCGTGTTCCGAAGACAAAGATTGTATGCACCTTGGGCCCAGCTTCTCGGTCGGTGGTGATGTGTGAGAAGCTACTGAGGGCCGGGATGAATGTTGCCCGGTTCAACTTCTCACATGGGACCCATGAGTATCATCAGGAGACGTTGAATAATCTCCGCATTGCCATGCAAAATACTCAGATCTTGTGTGCAGTGATGCTCGATACCAAAGTAAGAGTTTTACATTCTTGTCTTTATGTTGTTGTTGTTTACTGATATCTAGTTTCTCAAAATTTAGCACATCTTTCTTTCTCTCTTTGTAGTTGTATTGCTGTTGTTTACTTATATCTAGCTTTTCAAGTTTTAACGTATCTGTACTTATCCCTTCCACACACTTTTTACTAGCTGGGGGTCTTCATAGAAACCTCCAGTCTATTCTTTTCTGTAGAGCTTGTGTCTGCGTACATCTTTATGATAAAATGGAAAGTATTTTGACCATAAAACCATATCGAACCAAACGAAAACTGACCTGCCCACAAGTCGGTGCATCCTGAATGGCAATTTTCAGGATTCGGGATTAATCATGGGAGAGTTTTGGGTGAAACAGACAACGAAATATGATTTCTATGACATATAGTATGTGGGGACCTGATGGTGCGCGGGAGACTTGGCCCTCGACCTAATTTGCACCAAAGGTCCCCTGCATTTAGTATCAAATGTGTGTCACTTGTGATGACTGCCATATTACATATGAGATGGGTGTTCTTAAATTAGTGGTGTTCTCTTTTAAACTCACACCTATATATACGGGAAGGTTCAAATAAGAACCATATATCTTGAGAACCGTGAGAACCGGTATATGCATATAATCTATCAAAACATGCATTCTGTCAATGAGTATATTCATCAATACACATCTATTATGTATATAGTGTATATGCATCAATGCAATATACTCGTTCTCAAAATATTTATGGTTCTCATTTTGATCTTTCCCTATATATACACACACACACAAAGAGAGGTTCATAGGTAACACTTGTTCAGTCCATTAGACATACTGCCTTTGTAGGTCATGGCATATCAGCAATTGGTTAGCGGTAAGAGCACGGTAGGAATTGCAGCTGCAACCATCCAGAGATCATTTTGACTTTTAAGGTCAAATGTAACACATTTCAAATTAAAGAATCGGGATTTTGTATAGATTCGAAAATCCAACGTTTTTTCTTGTTCCAATATTTGATTATGCAGCTCAAATCTTTAATAGCTACATCAGTTCTGTAGTTAAAAGTAGTCTGTTTGGCTTCAAAAAATTTAAAAAATCAACGTATTTTTTTTCTTTTCTCTGCAGGGTCCGGAGATTCGAACTGGATTCTTAAAGGACGAAAAACCTGTCCAACTCAAGGAAGGTCGTGAGATCACTATAAGCACCGATTACACCATTAAAGGGGATGAAGAGACCATATCCATGAGCTACAAGAAATTGCCAGTTGACTTAAAGCCCGGCAACACCATCTTGTGTGCGGATGGAACCATCACCTTAACGGTCTTGTCCTGTGATACGAAAGCTGGGACCGTTAGATGCCGCTGCGAGAACACCGCCATGCTCGGTGAGCGCAAAAACGTCAATCTCCCCGGTGTAGTTGTTGATCTTCCGACACTAACAGAGAAGGATAAAGAAGATATTCTTGGCTGGGGTGTCCCTAACAACATTGATATGATCGCGCTTTCATTTGTGCGTAAGGGATCCGATCTTGTGAACGTTCGCAAAGTTCTTGGCCCACATGCCAAGCATATTCAGTTGATGTCCAAGGTATGTTTGCGACTTAAAAGCAATTTCGATACATAATAGAATGAATATACTGGAGTATTATTCGGTTCTTTAACTTTGGGGTATTAACGATTTTAAATGGACTTAAATTTATGAAGGTTGAGAACCAGGAAGGAGTTGTAAACTTCGATGAGATCTTGCGTGAGACCGACTCATTCATGGTTGCTCGTGGTGATCTGGGAATGGAAATTCCGGTGGAAAAGATTTTCTTGGCGCAAAAAATGATGATCTACAAATGTAATCTTGTCGGCAAGCCGGTGGTGACTGCAACTCAGATGCTCGAGTCAATGATCAAATCACCCCGGCCCACCCGTGCCGAGGCCACCGATGTGGCAAATGCCGTTCTTGATGGTACCGATTGTGTTATGCTTAGCGGAGAAAGCGCAGCCGGTGCATACCCTGAGATTGCGGTCAAGACCATGGCTCGTATCTGCATCGAAGCCGAATCATCTCTCGATTATGGAGTCATCTTCAAAGAGATGATACGGTCAACCCCATTGCCAATGAGCCCGTTGGAGTCGCTTGCATCATCTGCTGTCAGAACAGCTAACAAGGCTCGAGCCAAACTCATTGTGGTTCTAACCAGGGGTGGATCCACTGCCAAGTTAGTGGCGAAGTACAGGCCCGCTGTCCCGATTTTGTCGGTGGTGGTCCCAGTTTTGTCGACCGACTCATTCGACTGGACCTGCAGCGATGAGACACCGGCTAGGCATAGTCTTGTGTACAGAGGACTGATTCCGCTTCTTGCAGAGGGATCGGCTAAAGCTACCGATGCTGAATCCACGGAGGTGATTTTGGAAGCAGCTTTGAAAACGGCTTCCGCGAAAGGGCTCTGCAAGTGTGGTGATGCCGTGGTGGCACTCCACCGCATCGGTGCTGCATCTGTCATCAAGATCTGCGTAGTCAAGTAAGATGATCAAAGTTAGTATCTTTGGTTGCAATGGTTATCTGTTAGTTTTTTGAAATATGTTTTGAGTTCGTGATTTGGATCGTATGTGACCATGGACCTTTTTAAATAAGAACTTATTGATCAACTTTTGTATTTGAATCATGATATTGACTGAACGGGTTTTGGGACATAAATAAGTTGTGGCTGAACCACGGGCTGGGTCGAGTCCTGGCTGTGGTTGAACAATTGGGCTATGTGGGTTCATTTGAAGTTAACACAAAACTGGTAAGGTTTTGTGGACCTGATGACCTATGGGTTTCATAGTTGGATGGTGAGTGCTTATTTGGGCTTACTAATAAGTTTTTGTTTTAAGAACAACGTTGTATTAGGTCATGGCGTTCCATGGATTTAATGCAGCATTAAAGACAAACTTGAGCCACCAAATGGTCTTTGACCTAGCGGTATGTGAGTCTTTAGTCTTGGAGGTCAGGGGTTCAAACCTCACCAAATGTGAGAAGGGTATGTGATTGTTCTATTTGCCGTATATAAATATTATATAATTAAAAAAAAAACTTGAGCCATGACGACTGTCATGAGGGTCTTTAGAACACTAAAAAACCAACAAAAACGTTTTAGTTCAAAATTGTTTTAAATAACTTGTTAGATTATCCAAAACATTCTATGAACTTATTGTATCACATATTCACATTTATATAGGATGCACAATTATTTGATCCTATAAACTTTAATTCCTATTTAACAATCTACCAAGCCATTTTGATATAATATGACATCCTATACAATTGATTATGCTAGTGTTGTTGGCTTAGGTACCGTCATATCAATAGAAGGTTTACCATGAAACCAATCTCAAATGGTTGTGGTTGAACTGTCAGGCTAGGTCGAGTCCTGGCTGTGACCGAACTGCTGGGCTAGGTCGAGTCCTGGCTGTGACCAAACTGCTGGGCTAGGTCGAGTCCTGGCTGTGACCGAACCGCTGGGCTAGGTTGAGTCTAGGCTGTGGCTGAGCCTCTCGGCTATGTGGGCTTATTTGAAGTTGACACAAAACTGATATGCAAGCTTGGAATATTTGCAGTGGACAACTAAGACCAGTTTTTTTGGGTTCAGATGTTGGGCTTTATGGTTAGGACGCATTTGGATATTCTAAAAAGATTTTTTTAAGGATATTTTTGAATTAAATCAAAATGTTCCATTAGTTCTTGTATGTGATATTTTTAAAAAATGTTGTATAAACACATCTTTTCAAAGAATTGTTTTTATATCGATATTTTTCCAAAGAAGGTCAAACCAAAGTTCTAAATTATATGAGACATGACATGGCAATAAGGTTAAACCTCAAGGCCTTGGGAGCTACGGTGCGAACATGATGTTTTTTAAAACATGACTTGTGACGGCAAATTTGTATATTAAATAGAGTATGTATATACACATAAGGTTCTATAATTTAACTCGATGGATCCATAATATTGAACAATTCAAATTATATTATATATTAAAAACTAAAAAATAAGACATTAACATGTAAGAAAATATAATAAAATGCCTTATAAAACAGTGTAATGGGTCATGACTTGTCATAAGCTTAACATGCATCGAAGATAAGCCAACTTGATCACGACGTTTGCCATAATAAACTTCTTAGAACATTTTATTTCAAAATTGTCATAAAAACTTCTTAGATTGTCCAAAGCAATTCTATCAATATAAGACATACAATTGTTTGATCTTATAGATACTAAGTATTATTTAACGATGTATAAGTGGTTCTCGACTCTTCAAAACTCTGAATTCCTAAGCCATAAGTGGTTCTCGACTTCACTGTCCTCAATTGCGATTTCGACCAAATAGAGCAATATCTGAATCCTAAAATAATGACTTCTTCATCTTTATCAAATCATCTGACAGCCCCTAGGTCACATGTATTTCAATTTTCTTTAAGTTTTCATATTTAATAAATTCTATTGGTTATTATTATGCTCTTTTTATAGTTACATTTCTCAGTTAATGGAAATAAATCACCGTTTCTATGATAGTCCCATGGAGTTGCTTCGTCTTTCATCAACTCTTGATCTTAAAAACGTGAATGAGCATTTTCTAAATGTTGATGTATGTGATATATTTTAGTGATCATGAGAAAACAGTTGTGAAGATGTAACTTCTACATTCATGATACAGATGCCATTCAAAATGCAAATTATAGGCAATTAACATAGATATATTTCATGGTTGGTAACGATTGGAAAAAGAAACCACATTCTGATCTTATTTATCAAGTCATTTTCAGAAATAAATATTATGAAAACAAGGATAAAAAATAAAAATAAAAGCTAAGTTTTTGAACCACTAGTCGGTTTTGTTTACCAAATGAGAAATTGCTGAAAATATTAGTTTGGAGGAAATTGTGCAAGATTTTTTTAATGCGTCAAAGATCAACGAAATCCACTTTGACGACTGATATTAGACATTTCCATATTTAATAATCTTATGTTAGAGTTTTGATGTGCTTTTTATGTTTTAAAAAATATACAAGGGAGCTTGTATTCAGCCACTGGACAAGAGTATAGAAAAGCAACTTATTGAATAAGAAAAGCTGATTCATTTCCCTCTTCTTTTCAATAATTAAATTCATAACGTTTAGAAGGGTGTGCTGATTAAAAAAGACATAACAGACAAAGGCTGCTCAAAAAATTCCATGTTAAATATGAAAGAATGGGGATCAGAATTAAAGAATTTATATATAAATATAAATATAAAATAAAATTATTTTAAAAATGGTTCGGATCGTGGAAACATCAGAAGGTCACATGAATACATCCAAATGGCACAACGTTTGAGGCTTCAAAACTTTGACTTTTCAGAAGATGCTTCTGGCCTTAAAGTTATTGTTTGGATTACTATTTATTTAAAACATAATTCATCCCATTTGTTTTAATTTGGTTTATTAAATATTTAAATTTGAAATTTCAGTTACATTTTCTATTTTAAATGGTAATTATACTGAATTTTTAAGAATTATTAAAGATTTTTCTGATTATTATCGTTCGGTACTCGTAGAATTAGTTGAAGCGTGTGAAAACTAACTCGGATCCCCATGTTTACCAAAAGAAGTCGATTTTGATCGAGTAGAGGTTGTTCGGAGCCATTGAAGTAGTTAGATCAACGGCTACCGTTACCAACAAAACTGTACGATTCTTTAAATATCCGTCGAATCATATGTTACATATATTTTTGGTAAAAAATCTACAATATTTGAAATAATTACCATTGAAATAGGAGGAGCTATTTATTTTTTTACTATAATTAGCTCCAAATTATGTCCAAAGGAGGAAGGAAATTAAAACAAGATAATTTCTATTCTAATAATCATGCCGGATAATCAAATGGCAGCGGCGAAACAACCGAGGAATCGGATAAATTCCGGTGAACAAATCCATAATTACGGAGAACCTGATTATCAGCAAAGTTCAACGCGATGTTCATGGCGTCCCGACATCTTTTTCCGGTGAACAAGGGGTTATGTTTGCCGTTACACGGCTGACAACCGGCGAAATGAGTCACAAACGGCCGCCTCCAGCTCCCAAACTCATTACCGGCGTCTTTTAACGACGGCTCTCGTAACACACCGTAACGTTCACTCACCTTCTCCGCGTGCCGCCGTCGTAACATCCCGGTCGTCGTCTCGATCTCCAGATACCTTTCCGTTATGTTCTTCAATGTGTCGACGATCAATACCCAGTACCCTTCGAGATAATATCCAGTCTCGATGTGCATCCTCTTCGTCCCCCATTGTTGGTGTTCCTTCAAGAGCAAGTAAGCCAGCGCCGTCTGATCGTCGGATTCATGCTTGAACTCGTTCATCAAAATTCCTGCCCATTTGTCGAAATTAGGAGATCGGGGCCCCATATCTGCCCACGAATCCAATAAATCCAACGACCATTGACAGTTTCTGATCAGAAACGATCCAGCATTCAATCCCAACCAGCTTTTCTTCACATAAACCTCCTTCGGCCAGCCATGGACGATAAAGTTATAATCTTTATACCGTTGCAAAGGGAGTTTGTACTCCATATCGGTGAACGCAGCGTCTTCATCGAGCCACCAGATCCACTCCGCTTCCGGATGAGCCAACATCGCCGCCCGAACCGCCGGAATCTTCGCCCAGCATGAAGGCATCTTAGGGTCGAGTAAGACGTTGTTGTAAAAGATATCGTAGCCATGGATTCGACAGTAATCAACTTTATTCCGGTAAAACCTCAACAAGAAATGATCTCCGGTGGGGCTCTTGCATGGCGTTGACCGTGAGCCTGTTACTATAAAGACTCGCTCATGTGACCTGGGTTCGAACGATGGGTGCAGTCCGAGCCAGGTTCGTCTCTTTTGGTCCCAGTTTGTTATGCGTTTGTCGACGGTATAACCGAAACTTGGGTCGTCGTAGAAGGTCGACACCGGCGGGTCGAACTGGAGGTTGAAGGCGGGGTTGGGTTGGTTACAGTTGCAGAGACCGGATTTGGATCGAGAGAAAAATGGGATTGAATCGAGAGTTGAGAAGAAGAAGCAGCCCCATAAAAGCAATAACGCCGAGACAGCTCCGGCAAGGAAGACGGAGGGCCGGTCAAGGATTCGAATCGCCGGCTTTCGCCAGCCGAGGTGATGGAATGCCACCATGGATACTGATAACTATTGACGTTTTCCATGTTATGATGCTTAAATACCACGCGAATTTTCCTTTTTTAATTTATATTCAACTTTTACTTAAAAATCATATTCTTTGTTTGAAATTTTGGTTATCATTATTCGACTTTATTATAAATCTTATAATAATTTTTTTTAATTAATCTAAATATCCAACACGTTACGTAAGCTGATTAATTTCAAGACGACCACTTGTTTTACAAGTAATTTTTGATTAAAAAAAGTATGATATATTTTTTTTGTTAAAAAAAGGTAACAATTCTTTTTTTTCCCTCCAAAAGGTATACTTTTTAAAAATTTTAACAAGATAAGTTATGTTTTACTAATCTTTTTAATATTGGTATATTAACGGGTAATTTAAAAAAATTCTAATTCATGAATATATTTATTAAATAATATATAAAAAATTCAAAATATAATATTGCAATAAAAAATGTCACATCAACCAAATTATACATGCACATCCTTTGTGGATGATGACATGACATGAAAACTCAATAACTTATATCATGTCATCTTAATTCCAATGAAAAGATTACCCGTTACTATAATCACAATTTTAGGAAACTAAATTTTTAATTGATTTAGGATTAAAAACGTATATTAAAATGTTAAAACTAAAAATACAATGTTGTAATAGAAATTGATACTCATATAATAAAATAATTTTGAAAGTACAATGCTATAATAAAAAAGCTTACGTGGAAGTGAAGGTGGCATATAAACCTGATATAATAGATAAATTTAAATCAAAAGGTTATCTAATAAATAATTTTTTCAAAGTTCAATGCACTAATAAAACATAATTTGAAAATACAATGTTATAATAAGAAAAAAACTGAAATTACAATGCTATAATAAAAAAAATTATAAAAATAGGTTGTTAATTCGTGCATTTTACTCTAAAAAATATTATCATATTACTCTTGTTTTATATAGAGAAAAGATTTCAAATACAAACCTAATATTTATTATAAACTCATTCATATCAATTCAAATTATATAACAAGTTTGATTTTAAATTATAATTCATATTATTTCATGTGTTCTGTTTTATTACGTGTCTATCTACGTAAAATTTATACTGATATTTTTTTCAAACGTAAAACAGTCATGGGAATTTTACATATGAAACATCATTATATGACCATTGCATTGAAACATGTGTTGTTTCTCTCTCTCTCTCTCTCTCTCTCTCTTTCTCTCTCTCTCTCTCTCTCTCTC